GTGACGAGGAAGTACGGTTCTTTGGCAACCGCGCCAACGTTCCATTGGCCATGGAACGGACTTCGGGTTTGCGTGTGTCACCCGTTGACTGGCAAATAAACCTGAGACCCGGGTAGTTGCGTGTGTCCCCCGGCGAGGTGGTACGGATATACTCTGAAAGATTTGAGCTCGAGTCTGATGAGTATTTTTCCGAGGCGGATGGTCGGCGAGGGGGAGTTAGCATAGAGCTGCTTCGCCCGGCAGTCGGCGGCATCGGGGATCGATGTCTGGAGTGGGTATGGGATGACCGGTACCGAGAGCCGTGATATCGGTGACCGATGAGGAGTATGAAGATCACTTGAGGTCCTCGCAAACGATTTTTGCTTGGACTGTTGCGCCTCGTGTTCGACACAGGCATGAACGAGTTGTTGTATTTACCTACGTGTGATATACACGTAGAGACGATTGACGGACATTGTTTGAGAATGCTGATTGATTCAATGATGATTGATTTTATTGAAATATCCCGTCGCATGTATATGTATATTATTGACTATATTGCTTGGCCGTTTTCAATAAAAATAGAAATCTCGGGTTACACCCGAATTCCTCCCTAAGCACGTAGCTTAGGACGTTGTTATGCAACGTTTCAGGTCGTGAGCAGCAACAGTGACTGAGGCAGACACGGGACCCGGTGACAGCTAGACTTCCTGATCATGTATAATTATCTTTAACGCATTCTGTTTTCAAAAATAAAGAGTGGTGATCTTCGAACTTTTTGTGTTATAGTTTTCACACCACTTGTATTATGTACTGGTACCGTTCCAAGCGTGTGCGAACGTATTGATGTATTTTATAATGTGTTCCGCTGTATTATATTTAAAATGGATCGTTTTAACTTTCCCGCGAGTTCATATTTCGAAATTTTCTGATTGTGATTTTATTGTCCACGTGGCACAACCTGTAAGCGGGATACGGGGTTACGGGTGTCACAATGGCCAAGCGTTCCCTCGAACTATTTATCCTGGATTGCGTCGCTCGTGCGGTCCTCGCGACCCACAGACGCATCGGATGGGTCGTGCGATGGACAATCGCTTGGGCACGGTGTTCATCCTTGACAGTCACGTGTGTACAACATTCATCTCCTCCTCGGACGGTTGTTGTGATATGCGTCATGCTTCGGACGACCGTGTGTAATGTTCGTCCTTGTGTTGCTTCCCAGTTGTGATGATAGACCTAGTGCGTGTTGAGTTGCAGTAACATGCTAAGTCCGGGTCTCAAACTTTTGCGGTAAGACGGACGACTGGGAGGGAACCATTGCGTTCATGATGGTTCCTCCACAGTACCAAGGCGCTTGGGCCTTACCGCGCATGGGCGGATGAGTGTCCGAAAGTCATTCGGCTGGATTCTCCGCACTTAGGACATAGACGTACTCCTACCACAAACGATCAGGACTTTCCTGATGTCGCGATAGGTTTTGGGTCTTCGTGATTGTCCTCTGCTGGCAAGGGTTCATCCCCCATGGTGCAAGGATCATCACTATGAGATGGAACCAAGTCTTGAAACCATCTGTCACCTGATGTCGGAGTCCAACTTGACACTTGGTTGATACTCGGATACTGTATGTGGGTAAACGTTCGATGTGTTGTGGTGGAACCGGGCTCTGATACCACCTGTCACGGGCTTAGTTTTTTCACGAACCTTAAGTCGCGCGACACCTAGCCACGAGTGCGCTGCGGAAGCAATACTTGAATCAGACCTTTATTAAGTGGCAGGAATACAAGGTATGATGACTAGAGTGTACAATGACGAACGCAGACTGTACAGACTCAGTATCGTACAACGTGGCGACTATGCTGTGACACTTCGGACGGATAGTGTTCCACTACGTACCATAGAGACTGGGTGATTTAAACAATCTTGTGAACGAGTCAGACCAATCGGAGGGGCTACCGGTTGTCGACAGGCCACGACTAAGGTTGTCGAGGTGGGATTCAAGTCAAGGCCAGACCAGGGGTCAAGACGAGTCGGGGAGCCGAGGCGAGTGCACCTGGCTCGGACCAGACTCCTTCACACGAACGAAAGGATTGGTCGTGTCTGGTCCGAGGCTTGGACTAGGCTATTGCGACAGTCCGGCTCCTTGTCATGGATGGGGGAGGGACTCGGTATTTATAGGGGCGAGCTTGGATTTAAGTCGGTGGAACGGACGGTCCAGATTTATCCGGGTGGACGGCTGAGATTGCGCCACATGTCCCGTCTAGAATCTTCTCGAGGTCTTAGGTCGGTTCATCCGAGTGTTCTCGAACATTCTCAGACTCTCCCGTCCATTCACGGATGCTCGCACACTCCCGCGTTCGCGCGCCTTGTGAAAGCTTTAGGAACAGTCTGGACGGCTCTCCATAGTTCCCGAATAAGGTTGGATGCTCTTTCCACGTCTTAACCCGTAATTTTCTCGGCATACCCGTTCATGGACGGGTATGACGGAGCGTCCCTCGAACTATTTGTCTCTGATTGCATTGCTGTGCAGTCCTCGTGACCCACAGACGCATCTTCTCAACGGTTACGAACAAATGCAGAAGAGAGAAATTTTGTCGGTAACAAGAATGCTTCTGCAAGCCTCTGTATATATATATCTATATATATAAATATATTATTTAATACATATGTTATGTATGATTAAAAATGTGAGTCCATTAAAGTTTCGGTATTATATTTAATAACATCCGTATTTGGAGAAAGTTCAAATAGATTCATGCCAATTGGTTTAATAGACAAATATTTTATTTATTCAGATACATATATTTATATTTAATTTTAAGCTTATTTCACTCCCTGCTAATTATGGTACTAACTTTCACAAGGATGATGATATAGATGTAATATAATAACAGATACATGTATTGCAATTATTTTATGATATAATAATACAATGATACATATATTACAATGAGATATATATATATATAATGATTTAATAATATAATTTAACCTTATATAATATATATCAATTTTTTCTACATTTATATCAATAATTTTTTTATAAAGAAAGAACAAATATTTTATATTAAAAAAATAACATCGCAGGTATCTCCTAGTATTTTTTTTTTTGAAGTAAGATTAATTTGAGTGGAATAGTTACAAAAGTTATGCGACCGATACGGGTTTTTTTTCTTTCTTTCTATATTTAAGATAATCAGATTCAAATTAATTTTCGAAAGCAGAGGCAATTTGGGAATTCAGAACACGTTGTTGGAGTGCACCGAGAGACTGCGTCAAAAACCGAGGCGAAGTTTTTGGTTTCTTCTTCGTCTTTGATCCTAGTTTTGTGGATTCAACTTCGTTCTTTTGTAGAAATCTCCAAAATCACCGTCGTCGAAATCCCCGAGGCCCGACGGCAAAGTTTCTGGGTTCGCCTTAGAACGAGAGAGATGTGGACGGTGGGTCTTTTGAGGCGCACGACCGTGTTCGCAGTGAGCCGAGCTCCGAAGCGAGTTGGGTTCGGGTGGTTTCGGGGCATTACGATGGAGCCGGCGACGGATGAGAAGAGGGAGATAACGCTGGCGGAGGCGAAGAAGCTGATGAGACTGGTGAACGTGGACGACCTGAAGACGAAGCTTCTGGGAATGGCGGACAAGGAAGTGATCGCTTACAACGCGCTTCTTGAAGCCTCTCAGAACATGGGCATTGCAAGATCTCTCGATGAGGCTCGTGCCTTCGTTCGTGTCCTCGACGACGCCGGAGTTGTCCTAATTTTCCGGGACAAAGTCTACCTCCATCCCGACAAGGTCGAATACTCTCTTCTTCTTATGGGTTTCTGTCTCGGTCTCATCTTGCGTTGTTGGATTCCCTTCAGGTGGTGGATCTGATCAGACGAGCGGTGCCTCTTGCTCTTACTCCAGAGGATGATCCAACGAGAGATGAGTTCAATCGGCTCAAGGTCCTGAAGGAAGAAATCGATGTTCAAGCACATCGAGAGGTCAGAAGAATCCTGTGGTGTGGTCTTGCCTATGCCGTGGTTCAGGTCGGGCTCTTCTTCAGGCTAACTTTCTGGGAATTCTCGTGGGATGTGATGGAACCCATTACGTTCTTTACCACAGCCACTGGCATAATCGTTGGTTATGGCTATTTCTTGATCACTTCGAGAGATCCCACGTACCAAGACTTCATGAAGAGGCTCTTCCTTTCCAGGCAGAGGAAGCTGCTCCACAAGTATAGCTTTGATGTTGAGAGATTCAAAGAGTTAGCCATGAAATCCAAGCACCCGTCCTCTCACGCCGCTGTTTCCATCAAGAAGCGCGTAGGGTTGGAGCTTGATTTGGAGGATGCTTTGCACAGAGATTGATCATCACCACCATCATCATCTTTTGCTCATCTCATTGCCATTAGTCCCTTTTGTTTATGACAGGTTTTATGTTTATGGTCCACCGCCTTCATCTTCGTTGTTGTTCCTCTCCCTTTATTGGCAGCTTCTCATAAACAACCCTCCCTGTTCTTTCCTTTTTTGGAAGACAGATTGAAAAAATTCAAGAAACTGCAGGACTTTTGTGTCGAATCAAGCATTCTTGGATGAAGCAGCAGCTTATGCCTCAGCCTGTTCAAAGATTGGCCTTAGTCCCTGCTGATAAATGATCCAAATAGATTTCTACATACTTGATAACTTTCTTACACAACCTTGCCATGTCTTAATCGATTCTTGGTGCTTGATTGTGTGTTCCCCTGCATAACTACTTGAAAGATCACCAACACAATGCAAAACCAGTTTCCGTTTTCTCGGGAGCGGTGTTTCTTGTTCGAACCGGTTCGGTTTGATTCGGTTTATTTGATTTTGTTCCAACCGGTTAGTTCGATTCGGTTTGGTTTATTTGTACCGTACCTATGGGACCCATAAATCGCATATTCCGTCCATCGTGAACCACAAGACTAATTATGCTCCTCCGTGTCCTCCCCACTCCCTCTTCTTCTTCTTCTTCTTCTTTTTTTTTTTTCCTTCTTGGTATCCTTTTTTTTGTTTGCTTCTTCTGCTCTGTTGCTCTGTGGCCAACAATGGCGATACTTCCCTTGAGACCGGAGAATCATTTTTTCTCCTCTCCGATTCACGCACGTAAACATAACTTCTCCTTCTTCTCCCACAATCACAGGTCCACGACTCGCTTCTTCTGGAAAAACCATTACCATCCTCTGAATTCTAGGGTTCTCTGCACTGCAAGTGGCACGGAACGTGCCAAAGAGAACAAGAAGTTTCCGGAGAAACCTACTCCGTTGGGGCCTTTGTTACCGGATTCGGATTCTGGAGGTAATTTGGGCCTTAGTACGAAAACGGGATTGGGTCGGAAGTGGCCGCCATGGGAAAATATTCCCGAGAGATACAAGCTTATTAGCGCAACGTCTCTTGCCTTTGTCATCTGTAATATGGATAAGGTTGGGTTCATTCTTGATTGTCACTATTCCATTTCGTCTTCGTTTTCGATTTGCTGGCAGAATCGGAACACTAGATTCCGCTTATAGGGGTGTATTTAATGGGAAGAGAGTATATGTTTTTGGTGCCTTTTCGTAAGGAAGAGAAAAAACCCTTTTTCGAAGGTTTTGTTCTAAACCTTTTCTCTAAGGTTTTGTTCTAAACCTTTTCTCTAAGGTTTTGTTCTGCCACAATGGTGATCAATTAGAGTGATATAGTGTGTCTGGTATGGGGTTTTAGCGTAAATTACGTAAGGTTTAAAGATTAGGGTCATGCGATTTCAAGTTGTTTTTAGTCAGTAATGCGTAAAATACTTGTATCAGTTGTATGCTTCACCAGTGCAGATTATTTTACCTTGTTGGCTTTGTAGAATAGGATGCATTCTTTCTTTTATTTTTGAGTCATGTTTGAAAAAACCCTTGTGAGAAACCGTCATGAGTTCTTGATTGTGGATTCGTGGACAGTATGATTTGGATAGAATGGAAATATACGGCGTGGTGAGAGCTAATGATTCATCATGAGCAGGTGAACTTGAGTATTGCTATAATTCCGATGTCACACCAGTTCGGATGGAACTCATCCGTTGCCGGCTTGGTCCAATCATCATTTTTCTGGGGTTATGCCTTGAGCCAGTTGCCGGGTGGGTGGCTGTCCAAGATTTTCGGTGGCAGGTTTGTCTTTTGGAGGCTCTTTCCCGGTTGCTCCTTTTGGGTTGCTTCTGCTTGAGCCTATTTCATGGGATGAAAACTTATCCTCTTATCTTTTTCTAATGCAGAAAAGTCTTAGAGATTGGTGTATTAACTTGGTCTTTGGCGACAGCCCTTGTTCCCGTCCTTGCTGGATTTATGCCTAGTTTAATATTTTGTCGGATTTTGGTGCGTAGCTTTATATATTTATGCTGTTTATCTGGTTTAAGCAATCGTTTTTTGTTTCCCATATAGTCATGGATTTTGTTACAAGCTCTTTACTCTTTAGTTTATAAAGTTCAACTTTCCCATATAAGAACACTCCATGTCCTTCTCTGCTCCTCAACCCAACAGTGTGTAACTTTTTCCTATATTTTATGTCCCAACATGAAACATTACTCTAGCTTTACATGCATGTCTTCCTTTTAACACAGAGATTTGTCCTTTCATAACTCCAGGTAGGAATAGGAGAAGGAGTTTCTCCCTCAGCCGCGACTGACCTTATTGCCAGGCATGTATGACCTCGGTGCAATTTAAAGAGTGTGCTCATTGTTATTTATGACCCACATCCTATTTGGTGATATGTGTCTGAATAAGGATATCTTGCTAAATTTAGCCTTCTGATTTCTATTCAAGAATCTTTTAAGTTCACTTGCTTCTTTCTTCCACAGAAAAGCACACATCTTAGCTTCATAGAGATCTGCAAAAACTTTGATGAAAGTTTTTGTAAAGGCTGAAGCTAGAATATATTCTTTCATGCACATTTCATTGCCCACAACTAAACTTCTGGTGTATCTATATCACCCGAAATTTTGACAAAAGATTATCTACTACAATGTTAACTACGACTTATCAGAACTTAGTTACTGTAATATCAACCAGCAACTGGTTCCTCTTTCAATGCTGAATCCAGTTTTCTTGAGCTTGTCCTGTTTGTAGTTTCTATGCTTTAATTGCTGACAGAAAAAAAAAACCCATTATTATTGCCTGAAGAATAAAAAAAGGTTTTACCTCGTTTAGAAAAATTTCAAAATCTTAACAGCATCAATAAATACTAAAGCTACCAACCATCTTGTTTCCATGAAAGATCTGGTTATGTTGGTAATATTGCAATCAAAGATTTGATGTGCCAATGCTTGTTTTTTTTCCTTCTCTTTTCATCTTTTAATTCGCACCACTCCATTGCTGGTTGCAGGACGATACCCATAGAAGAGCGCTCAAGAGCTGTAGGCTTTGTTTTTGGTGGACTAAGTTTTGGAAGCGTTATGGGGTATGATTTCATTTGATATTAAGTATAGTAAACTATAAAGTTTTTCCGGCAAGGTATTTGGATGAAAGTTTTAGAATCTTCACCGATTGTGCGCCAAACAGGAATAGCTAAAAGTTTTGGTTTTGATTTTTGCATACTACTGTATTTTCTTCCTTCGCTTGTTTATGCACTACTCTATTTATGAGATGTAGTCCTACCTTGGTCACTCTGCAGGCTTCTCTTGGCTCCTCCTCTTATCCAGAACTTTGATTGGGAATCGGTCTTTTACATATTTGGTCTTCTTGGGATTGCCTGGTGAGTTTTTGCCAAATGCAATTGATAGAGTTCTTCAGAAGATTGTTGTCTGATGGTTTTCTCAAATCATTTCAACTTGAGTTAATATCCAAATGAAGTTGTTTTGGCTGTCCTACATCTAAACGATAAAAGATTGATTTCATCTCAGTTTATTCTCCCTAATTGTTGAAGGTTCTTGGGGTTCCAATTACTTAAATCAGAAGAGGCTTCATATGTAGCTGAATCTTTTGAAGGTGGCAGCCACGTCCTTGTCCCTATATAATTCTGAATATGGCTCATATCAGCTTCCTGCCTTTCATTTGGGGCTTGGATATGTTTAGGGAACCCATATACTGCATACTGCATGAATGGAAACATTATGAATTCCATCTCATGCATAGTATGGGTTACTGTTCGACTGCTATCGTGAGAACGGAGCATATTACAGATTGATCACAGAGGGTTTTGGCCCCTTTAATTCTTTCATCTGTATATTTGGAGCTTTTACATCATTTCTTATGTAAACACTTCTGGATAATCATCTGCTACCTCTTTCACACCTGCCAATAACTAAGATTCCATTCACTTCTCATTGTGGAGCATATCACACATCTCATAATTTGGATTTCCTTCTGTTTACAGGTCATGAGTCCACTACTCTGTGTATACCCCAGAAAACCGCATTGAAAGATTTGGGGAACTCTCTAAAGGTTAGCTTATTAATATCATCTCTTCATTTTCTTTCTTGCCCCACTTGATTATTAACACACACATCTGCCAGAAAGGTGCTAACTTGGTCTACTACGTGAATGAGTTGATCCAAGCAACCCTTTTTGTTTAAGACCACTTTATTTTTGCTGGTATCCTCTTACAGGATATACCGTGGAATTCGTTTTTCCGAAGTTCAGCTGTTTGGGCTATGATATACACTCACTTTTGTGGAAGTTGGGGTCATTATACATGTCTATCTTGGCTACCAACCTATTTCAGGTAATTGTATTGTTAAGCTCACTCATAACCTCCCTCAATCTACACCACCACTACCCCGCTATCTTTACTTCAAAGCATTTGAACAATTCACTGCCCAGAGTTTAGATACATATTTTAGTTTATTTCGTTTCAAGTCCTGGTTCCTTCTTTATCTGTATTCTGATTTCTTTCCTAAGTTTTTCTGATCTTAACTTCTCTGGGTCGTGATTTAGGTGAAATTAGTTTTAAATTTTTCTCCTAATTAAACATCTATTGATTGAAATTCATTATTCTCACTCTTTTAGTCCATATCTTATTAATGATGGAGTCATTTTTATTTGTATATCGGATATGCAGCGAGGAGCTGAACCTGAATTTGACTGAAGCTGCTTGGGTAAGCATCAAAGCTTCTTTTAATGCAAATTTTAACCGTAACAGTGGAAGTCAGATTTACCTGTCATTTCTCAAATGAAATGACCATACGCTCTGAGCTTGCAAAATGGCACACAGAAATGGATTGGCTGTCCTTTTTTCTCACATATTAAGTATGCAAGATACATGAGAATGGAAGTTTCTCCTTGCGCAAATGCAATCAGATAGGTAGGCATAGGCTATTGGTTTGGGGAAAGTACATTTTTAGTTCATAGATAGGCTCTAGTAAATCAGTTTTTCCTTCAATGACGCAATGAGAGAGTTTCAAAAATCTATGAATAGTTAATTATTCACTAAATAATCTTGGCTAGATTTTGCTAATGTTATGTATATGAGGTTACGACCATCGTTGCTGGTTGCCTTCTGAGGGCAATACCACTAAATGCTTCTACAAGCAAGGATGCCTGGGCTGATTTCTGTGCATACGGCAGCCTATTTGGTTGTTCCCTCAAAGAACAAGTTCCTTGCATTTTAACTTACCTGAAAACCGCAAGTAGAGAACGATCATATTACCATGGAATTTTTATTATAAATTATTGATTTACATTTCCTTCATATGCACGTGCTAAAATTTGCATGAAGGTAATCTTTTGCTGTGTTATAATTCTTTGGAATCTGATTTCTGACTTTGAAGATCAGGTTTCCATCCTTCCTCCACTGGCTTCAATTTTCGTGACCAGTCTTGCTTCACAGTTTGCTGACTACTTAATTTCAAATGGAGTTGAAACTACCACGGTACGGAGATACATCGTATTCCTCTTGGTATCTCTTTATGACACCAGTTTAGGTTCTAAATGGTCCTAGATATTGATAATCAATTTGCTACTGACACTTCATCATCAATCTGCGCAAATGGTTTTGGTCTTTCCC